ATCCCTAAATGAAATAATTATACTCATATTGTTACCATTCAAAGATCACAATACTATGCATGTGCATGGCATATGTGTTGGGGAAAATATTTTGTTCCTATAAATTGTTTGACTCTGTATTAGAGAAGAAAACCTAGAAAGATAATTGTTAAGCTATAAAACATATCTAGTGTAATCTTTGAATGTGCTTGTATATCTGTAGTGTTACTTCGACTGCTATAATCAAATAACCCAGATTTAGTGACAGTAGCTGAGATTGTAAATAAGCAGTTGAGAGAATTTTGCCTACTAATGATACTATTAAAAGATAAAATACAGTTTATATGCTCTATAGTTGTATAGACGATTTGTGTAAGTTCATGTGAAAGTGCAGTGATAATTAAACAGCCCAAAGGAGAAGAATCTTTGTTGTAGGGCAGTTTTGTCATGATTTTCAGTATGTGGTAAATGAAAAGAAACAGCCAGTAAATCAGTGGAAATTCATTTTTTTTAACTTATTCGTAATGAAATACTGTCTGAGGATGTTTGTCTGTGCCTCATGCTGAGAATAATGTAAGAAACAAGTTCATGAGTCCATCACCCTAAAATATAGCAGTTAGAAAACATGATTGAAGTCATATTTATAGAAGAGTATGGCCCCTTTTTGCTGACATTATCATCATCATCAATCATCATCTACATCTATCTCATTAAATGATTTATTTTTGAAATGTTTCCATACGTAATTTGGATAACGTCTAATAAATTTTAAAAATATTATCATTGTGGGAAACTTACATTAGTAAACAGAAAATTTCAAGTTGAGCCAAATACATTTAGATTTAGAAATTAAGTATAGTTTAGTTTAAAATACATTGCTCAAGCAAATCATTATAGATAAACTAATCTTAGGAACACTATAAGAAAGATTTAGTTGTGGTGTTAATAAAATTCCTTAATTAGATAAATAAGCCATTTCATGATCAAGCTCTTATTTCTAAAGCGAAGATTTTATTTTATTTATTTTTTAACCTTTCCACATTTTATTGACAAAGGATTAATAGTATAAATTATGTTTATATTGCAAAGTTTATTTATGGAAATTTGATATGTGTACTTCTACTCCTTTTTACATCTTACATGAATATTTAAATAATTGATATATAACACTCCCTGATGCCAGGTAAATCAAATACTAATCTCAGTTCAGAAACTCACATGTACAACAAATTTAACTTCCTAGATATTTAAAAAACTCAGCTTAATTTCCCTAGGGGCTCCATAAACCTGATGGCAGAAATTAAATCTTAGGCAACTCTGGGTTCTCCCACAAGCACACTTTGCTTCAGAGTTGTGCTGAAGTTTTGAAGAGGTTGGGAGGAGGCAAGGAGATGTCCAGTCCTTGGTGCATCTATCCCCTGGCATTCTCCCATCCTGCCCCCAGTTGTCAGCCCACATAGGTTGCTGGCACATCTAAAGTGAGAATTTTAGGACTAAATAAATCAAATAGAAGTAAGCCCCCATATCTTCTATATCTCACCTGATAATGAAGAAGTTTGAAGGCACAGAGCTCTACTTCTGCTAATAAAAAAAAGAGTAAAATTTAATTTGTAAAATAGAATGATGTATCTAGGGTTGAGGTGCTATAACTTATTTATTGGAATGGCATTTTGAAATCCAGCACAGCTAATTGAATTTCCCTGTGGGGAGAGTTTGTGGTGAAGACTCATCAACAGACAAGCTACTCACATCACATCAATTTCCAGGTTCTTCCAACTTGTGGGAGGATGTGTAGACCAAGTTTTTATTCTATTTTGTGACCAATGTCTTGGGAAAAGAAGAAAATTGTTACCATTTTCATATCAAGCACACAAAAAACAAACAAACAAAACCAACCAACCAAAGAACCCCATTTTAAAAAAAACTTGGTTATGAGTACTTTGTTCTGTTTCTCCATAGATAATGATTTATAGAAGGAGAACAAAAGATTATTTCTGCTACTAAAATGATAAGAGCAAAAAATAAATAGTCAGTATTGAGAATCCAATAATCAAAGAGTTAACAACCAGCTAGACATAGGAGGAGAGAGAATTAGTGAACTGGAAGACAACTACAAAGAATGAAGCCTAAAGAGACCACAAGACAGAGAATGCAAAACTAACAGAATAAGAGGCATTGATGCTAGAATCAGAGGATCTAACATACTTTTGGATTTCTGGAAGATTAAAAGGGAGAAAATAGGGTAGAAGCAATGTTGTGGAGATTTTCTCAAAAGTGATAAAATGTATTAATCCATATATTTTTAGTAACCATCGAAGTTCAGACAAGATAACTAAAAACAAATTAACATAAAATGACACAGGACATCAAAGACCAATAGAAAATCTGAAAAGTGCCCAGAGAAAAAGATAGATTATTTTAAAAGGAACAACTTTCTAAATGAAAACTGATTTTCAACAGAAAAATGGAAGGTAGAATTCAATGGAATCATGTCTTCAGTGTGTTTCAAAAGAATAGAGGACCTGCATAAACAGAAATCTAAATGATATTTTTCAGCTAAAATGAAAAACATTGAAAATACAAGGTTAAACTTGCAAGAAGGAATAAAAATTAACAGATATGATAAATATGTGCATATTTCTTAATGAATGTTGACTGAATAAAATAACGTCTTGTTGAGTTAAATATGTAATTGATAAGATATATGCAAATAGCAACAAAGAGACTGGAGGTAAAGGTGACAGGAACAAATTTAGTTAAATTATTGTTTGCACTTTTCTATGTCTATGAGGAGAATTTGAACACCACATTTAATGACCCTGTAATAGGAATTGCTTCAAATGATATGTGAAATAATACTCATAGTAGAGTTACTCATAATAGCTCAAAAATACACTGCCCAAAATATATATTAACTAAGGATGATTGAATGATATAAATGATTACAGTAAATCCATACAGTGGAACAATATAGAGAGGTGAAAAGAAATGAATCACATGTACATGCAACTATGTAACTAAATTTCAGAAACATGATGTCCAGTGCAAGAAGCCATGAACAAGAAGAACACACAGGACTCCACCTATACACAGTTCAAAGCAGGACAGACCAAGCTGTGGAGTTTAGGGTTGCAAACCTAGTTGGTAAAGCATAAAGAAATTCAAGGAAATGATCAGCATAGATTACGAATATTGCTTGTCTCAGGAGATGTGAATAAAGGTTTAGGCACTTGGAAAGTGGCCTGGAAGTGGACCTAGTCTGTTTGCAGTGTTCCATGTCTTACCCTGCGTAATGGTTACATGACTGTTTATGATACATTGCTCTTTCCTATTTTTGTTTTGGCCCATTTCAAAGTGTGTATTATAATTTTATTTTAAAAATTACAAATTAGGATAAATGTCACATAAAAATTATTAATTGTTCTGCTCATTTTATACTTAGGGGAAATATCCACCATTTACGTACATTCTTATACAAATCAAGAGAGCTAAAGTGAATTCTTATTTTAGTTGCGAAATGGAGAAATTTGAGATGCTATTACCTACAGTCCCCAGATCTTTCCCAACATTTCCTTCTAGTTTTAGATATTTACCTCATATTACAAAAACCTTGACATTGTCAACCTATTTTTCCTTCGGCTCCTGAATTTCTGACACAACAAGGGTGCACATATTTCTCACACTCTTGTTTTATCAGAGTGTCTATATCACTTAGCTTTTTCTGCAAAAGAAACTTCTCCAAAACCACATTAGATATTTATATCTCACATGCTTTTGGATTCTGTTTTCTTAAGCTGGGGTTTTGTGGATGGCACTGGTGATTTGAGAGGTTTCAAGCTTTGCCTCTTGGATCTAGTTAAAGTTTGGCTGATTTAAGACTGGGTCAGGCAGGGGCAATGTGACTCCATGAGTTACTCATTTTCATTCTGGAAACAGTATGTTAGTGTGGACATGTTCTCATGATAAATGGAAAAGAGCAAGAAAGCCTAATATGGAACCATTTCAAATTTCGATGTAAAGCGTAGTAATTTTCTGTTCATCAAAGCAAATTACATGATCAAACTCAGAGTCCTAGTGCAAGGTTTTCACTATACCTGTGGTGGGAGGATACTGCAAAATTATGTGACAAAGGTCTGGTACTCAGGAATATTTACAAGCTTTCAAGTAGCATTACCAAAAGCCTAAGGATGAGAGACATGTTTCGTGAGTATTATTCATTGGCTGAAAATCCGGCATGGGAAAAATAGGACTAATTCCACCAGGATGAGCTCCTGGAAACTCATTTTCCATTTCATAAGTTATTAGAAAACAATTCCTTTCATCCTTGAAGGGTGAAAGTGTGTGTGTGTCTATGTGTGTGTGTTTATGAGTTTGTTAATACTGATGCCATACAAAAGTATTGGTTTACAGCAACCAAAGTATAAGGAGTATTGGCTTTCCTGTGGTTCCCAATAAAATATTGGGTGATTTTGATAAAAAGTTTAGATTCTGTGTATTTAAATCTGGCATTAAAAAATAAATCCATAGTGATTATGATCCTACATGTGATCAGGCTCTTTTAACAATCTAAATACTTGCTGTGTCATCTATGTACTGGGTATTAAAATTTCCCTAACAACTGAAGGGCTGAACACAAATTATGGAAATGTGAAACAAGGAAAAAATTGCAAAGCAATGAAAGAAGATATGTCTTTATTTGAATGCTAGCAAATGAGAATCCAGCTTTCCCTTCAACATCAGTCAGAAAAATTTCAGCCTATAGCAAGAACAGAGACTGTATGAATAATAATTAATTTGAGCTGTTTTGGGACTGACAATATTTTCCATAAAGGCAGCATTGAACTCATTCATTAGTTTAAGCTGGTGCTTTCCTGTTGACATTGTTCACAGAATTTAAAAGCATAAAGGATGTCATTGAACATTCAGGAATCAAGTGCATATTTAATCTAAAGTCTGAATATTAGAGGAGTCACAACCAGTGGCATTAGGCCTGAACTTTTTATTTGCTTTTTTGTTTCGACATGATGAGTTTTCTACCCATTGTTTTTTCCATTCTAGTAGTGGTTGCATTTGTTCTTGGAAATTTGGCCAATGGCTTTATAGCACTGATAAATTTCATTGCCTGGGTCAAGAGACAAAAGATCTCCTCAGCTGATCAAATTATTGCTGCTCTGGCAGTCTCCAGAGTTGGTTTGCTCTGGGTAATAGTCTTACACTGGTATGCAACTGTGTTGAATCCAAATTCATCTAGTTTAAAAGTAAGAATTTTTCTTTCTAATGCCTGGGCAGTAACCAACCATTTCAGCATCTGGCTTGCTACTAGCCTCAGCATATTTTATTTGCTCAAGATCGTCAATTTCTCCAGACTTATTTTTCATCACTTAAAAAGGAAGGTTAAGAGTGTAGTTCTGGTGATAGTGTCGGGGGCTTCGTTATTTTTGGTTTGTGATCTTGTGGTGGAAAACGTGTATATAAATGTGTGGACAAAAGAATATGAAAGAAACATAACGTGGAAGATCAAATTGAGGAATGCAACGTACCTTTCTAACTTGATTGTAGTCACGCTAGCAAACTTGATACCATTCACTCTGACCCTGATATCTTTTCTGCTGTTAATCTGCTCTCTGTGTAAACATCTGAAGAAGATGAAGCTCTATGGCAAAGGATCGCAAGATCCTAGCACCAAGATCCACATAAAAGCTCTGCAAACTGTGACCTCTTTCCTCATACTATTTGCCGTTTACTTTCTATGTCTAGTCGTATCATTTTGGAATTATAAGAAGCAACAGAAAGAACTTGTCTTAATCCTTTGCCAAGCTATTGGAATCATATATCCATCATTCCACTCATTCATTCTGATTTGGGGGAACAAGAAGCTAAAGCAGAACTTTCTTTCAATTTTGTGGCAGGTGACTTGCTGGGCCAAAGGACAGAACCTGTCAACTCCATAGATTCACCAGAGGTTTATTGTGTGTTTTCTAGCAGAAAACAAATTGATGGTGTCCAGAACATTTTATATTTCCTACAAGTTTTTGCATAGTCTATGTATTTGAGTAATTTACAAAAGTAGAATTGGAAAATTCTTTTACTTAAGTTTATTATATAAAAGTATATATATGTGTGTGTGTGTGTGTCTGAATGTATATGAAAACTTAACATTTACCATAACATACCTTTAATCAATTTTTCATATAAACTGTTCAGTTATACAAAAGTAGGATAAGAAATTTGTCAGAATTATGAACTCATGTGTGTTTCACACATATATTTTATTGTATGATATTTTGTTTGAGGAATTTATGATCTCTGTTTATAATTAAGAACTGACACCTTATATCAGAAAATTATTGCTGATGTTCATTGTAATTTGCATTATGTATATGTACCGTAGTGTATGTAACTGTTTAACTGTCATTGTTTGAGCCTGTAATTTTTTTGGATGGTAAGGAAATTTAATTCTAAATCAATGCTGAGAATGTGTCTTTGGGGTAGGTTTTTTTTTTTTTTTTTTTTTTTTTTTTTTTTTTTTTTATGGGGATTTTTTTTTTTTTTTTTTTTTTTTTTTTTTTTTTTTTTTTGTGTTTTTTTTTTTTTTTTTTTTTTTTTTTTTTTTTTTTTTGAGATGGAGTCTTGCTCTGTTGTCCAGGCTGGAATGCAGTGGCGCAATCTTGGCTCACTACAACGTTCACCTCCTGGGTTCAAGTGATTCTCATGCCTCAACCTCCTGAGTGACTGGGACTCCAGGCATGTGCCACCATGCATGGCTAATTTTTTTTTTTTTAATAGTAGAGATGGGGTTTCATCATGTTGGCCAGGCTGGTCTCGAACTCTTGACCTCAAGTGATCCACTGCCTCAGCCTCCCAAAGTGCTAGGATCATAGGCGTTCATGATGAATTCTTATTTTATGTTTAGTATAAAGCAAATACAATTATTGTTAGATAACAACGCACAAAATAAAATTCAAGGGTGAAATATATATCTAGTGTACATTTTTTTATGTATATCAAAAGCAATACTGAGGAATATTAGATTTAATATAGTATGTTAATAGCTTACAAAAAAACATTTCTATAAAAAAGATGAAGAAACATGATCATGAGCTCTTTTCAGTGCTGTTATACGTTTCCATATGCAATTAGAAAAGTCATCTCTTCTAGTTTTTGAATTAAACAAAAACTTTTTTGAAGTTGAGATCTGATGTTATATATTTTAGTTTTTTGTCTAAGCCACCTCTGAGCTCCTGAATTGCCAATTCCCTCCTTTATCTTCCATCCTTAAAATCCCTCAAAAAGCTCAAATTTTCCTTACTTTAAAAAGAAGCTCAATCTAAAGAGGGTATAGAAACTACGGCATCTATGAAATCTATATATCAATGATAGGAAATGCCTTAAAGATATGTCTTATTATAATCTTGGTGTAGATGATGAAATGAGAGAAAGTGTATTGACATATTCACTAATAGCAAGTTCTGTTATAAGAAGAAAATGTATAACCTAGTTCAACAGCTAAATTCTGTGTAACTGTATTAATTTCTGGTGTTATGTAATTTTAACAATATTATCTAAATCTTAAGATAAATCATCTCCACATCCAATTTGTTTGTTTATCATATATCTTCCCTGTTACAATGTAAATACCATAAAAGTGGAGATCATATAGAACTTGCTTACTGTAGACTTCCAGAACATAAAGACAGCACATAGAATAGTTATTCCAAAACGATACTTTGATGAACAAATTAATTGGTGAATGAATGAATGTATACATGAACTATATTGGGGTGATGAACCAATGAAAATGTAACGTATCACAAAATCTACAGTTGCATGAATATTTCTGTTCTGGTTTCAGATTGAAGTTACAGGATTATCCAAGAGGAAGAATTTCTCAGAGCAAAAGTTTGGCTATTCCCCAATTCTAGGGGAAATATCACTATAATATAGCATTGATGCAGCTATATTGGATGTGTGACACAAAGACAAAATGGAAAATAAAATCAGATGGAATTTATTACAATACTTTTTACTTAGCATATAAAAGAGTTTTGTATATGTGCACATATCTTTTCTATTGCAAACTGTATATTTGTATTGTGGTATTTCTAGCTGGTTATTACATAAACAAAAATGACATTTCATTTAAAAAATTCAATTATCAACTATCTTACTAAAATATATTTTTAGATAGTATTTTTAATATCCTTTCTAAATGATCACTTTAATCACCATATTATAAACTCATAGAAAAATGAATGAATAATAATTATAACACTGAATGAATATCTTAGTCTCAGGGGTCTAGAACTAGAGCAAATGTCTGATATTAAAGTGATGACATTTATTTGGAAGGAGGTCCATGGCAGCAAAAGCCGGGTCATATGGAAATTGAGGCAAGAGAAGATGTGAAACTATGTGTTGTGATGTGTGATATGACTCTGCTGACGACCACTCCACAGTGAGGTGAGAGAGAGAGCATGGCGGTCATCAGATGCGTGCACTTGGCTCCCAGGACATTTTCAGAAGGGCTGCGAGAGGAAAACACAGCCAGCATTAGTCCATGGAAGCAACAGAAGAGGGAGAACATATCTGCTCAGCTGTCTTCTGTCTTCTATTTCCCACTGGCCAGGGTTTCCCTGAGGCAGAATTACCATCTCTGTTGTTCTGCTTTCCATCATCCAGTCCCTTGGTGGAGGTAATGAAAGTCAGACCTCATGCCCACAATGTGGTGATCCATTCAAGTCCCAAATGGAAGGGTGACGTGGGTCAGGCAAGCTGCTGATCAGGGGAATGGGAGACAGTTAAGTGAATCTGAGGAAGCACATGTTTGTGCCCAATGCAGTCCACTCCTTGTGCCACTCAGATGTGCTCATGCCCTCCAATCATGGCTGACTTTATGAGCATATAATTTCCACTGTTGCACAGGGTCTTGTGCTTAGAGATGCGCATGCTTAGAAGCGCTTTATACTTGGGTTAATTTTCTGCACCTGCTGTTTTGTTTTTGAGACAAAGGGCAGTCCTCTGTTGAAGAGGGAATGGTTTTGCACTAATTTCCTAGGGGTTCGCTCTCCCCTCTCCTGTGAGCTTGTGAGAAGCATGCACAAAGTCCTATAATGCCCACTATGCATGCATGCCTCTAGCAGGTCTGAATTCTGCTGGATTGTCTGTCACAATGAGCACAGCAGCTTGGACTAAAGCCTACGTTTGCTAGAGTCATTTTTTGTTCTAGTTCTACTTAAGACCAGTAGCCTTTGGAAACTTCATTAGTGAATCAGAGCAATATCCTCAAATGTGGAATATGTTGGCTCCCAAATCCCAGGAGGCCCAACAAATATTGTGTCTCATTTTTAGTGACAGGAAATAGATGCATACAGAGCAACATGCTGTTTACTTTAAAAAGGGTATTTCAGCACGTGGACTAGGAGCACTGGACCCCTAAAATCATCATCTATGTTATAGGTCACTGAATCTTCTTGTTCATCTTTCTTCTTCTGGTATTTTACTTCTGTTCAATGTTATGATATTTTACTATATTTGAGAAACTCACCATCTCCTGCTTTTGGGTTACAATTAATGCAATATTATTAATATATTGAGTTAGCATGATGTTTTGCAAAATGCCAATTAAACTGAAAACAGAAGTGACATAGCCCTGACATAAAATGGTGAAGCAGTGCTTTCGTTCTTACCACACCAAAGCAAATCATTTTGATTTTCTCTCCCAATGGATGTAGATTAACAAGCATTCACCAAATCAAAAGCCTCATACAAAGAGCCAGAAACCATGTTTTCTCAGTGAAGGTACCACATCCTAGAGAGTATCTTCAAGTGCGATTTATGTTTATGCTGATGTGCATTCATCCTATAATCCATCTGGTTTTGGCAGAGGCCAGATAGGTTAACTGAATAGGGATCAAAAATGGACAACCACCTCCTGGAATTTAGAGTTTTGTGTCATGTCGGTGACCAATTCTATTCCTTAGACTATGCAGTTATTATGTTTTACTCATTTTCTTGACAGAAGAGGAGAATTTCAGAGAACTCTTTTTGGTTCTACTTACAATAATGTCCCCTTAATATACAGGTCTGGAAGCAATGTGAGAGTTCTGCTAGCTGTTGAAACTGTTAATTTCAATTTAACATTCTGGAAGAGATAATAAATATAAACCCATTAGATCCACCTCAGGTTGAACATGAGCCAAAGCTTTATGCAGCATCTGACTTTCAAAAACTCCTACTCCAGGACTGGTGAGGTGGCTCACACCTGTAATCCAAACAATCTGGGAGGCTGAGGTGGGAGGAGCACTTGAGACGAGGACTTCCAGATCAGCCTGGGCAAGATAGCAAGTCCCTGTTTGTTAAAGAAAATAAACTGATTGTGATACTGTGTGCCTGTAGTTCCAACTACCTAGGAAGTTCTGGCAGGGGGATCAGTTTAGCCCAGGAATTTGAGACTGCAGTAAGCTATGATTGTGCCATTACACTCCAGCCTGGGCTGCACTCTAGCCTGGCCAAACAAACAAGACTTTGTCTCTAAAAAGAAACAAACAAACAAATGACCAAAAACAAAGCCTCCCATTCCATTCTGTGAAACACGGTGTCTTTTTTAGTACTCAAATATTATGAATGTTATTTCAGACCCCATGTTTAAAATTCTGAGAGTATGAATATATGTCCTTTCCTCTGGGTACTGTTATGGCTACAGGTGAGATGACTACAGGTGCTTGAGAAAGGGTCAAGTGAATATTTCCTGAATATTTTTGTGGTGAATCTTCAGTGTCATTTACTGAGGGCATGTAAGTTTTCCTTCAATCATTGAACTCTGCTTCTCTGAATTGGGTCAGTCCTGAGAACTGGCTGAGGGTTTTTGATTTTCAACATCAAAGGCTGACCTCAAGAGTCAACATTTTCAACTTTGTCCCCTCTTGGTTTCAAATTATTTAGCAAAGTATGAAGCCTTTTCAACTATTGGCCTATCAACTAATTTAAATGAGGCTGTTATTGTCGCCACTCCATTAAATCTGACATTTGCAAGATCACCAGTAAGTCTGTGTTGCCAGTGGTTAGTTCTCATGTTACATGCTCTATGAGCAGCACTGAATATAGTTTATTTGCATTTCAGGATACTGCCCTCTCCTGATTTTATCCTTGTTCACTGACACAACTTCTCAGTCTCTTTTGCTAGTTCTTCATCTTGTCTGTAAACTGAAAATATCAGATTGTCCAAGGTCTAAATTCTTCAATCTCTAATAAATTATGTCTGTTTTTTTTTTTTTTTTTGGTGATCTCATGCAGTTTCCTTATAGATAATTAAGCCAAAAGGTTTAATAGAGAGGAATAAGGCTGTTTATTCATATGTATT